TCTCGTTAAATGGAAGCAGAGCAACATCCATTTTTTCCGCGGCTCTGGCTTTTGCTGCGATCCATTCATCCGCTAGTGCAGTCCAATTGGTTGATGCTAATTCTGCTTCTCGCCTTGTTCTATACCGAATGGGATTTCCTGTAAAAATCGGAAGAAAAAAACGATTGTCTAAACCGCGAACGATTGAAAGCGAGGCAAATACCATCGTTTCCGCTCGTGCAGCCAGAATCACAATAGTCTTTCGTTTTTGACAGAACATTTGCACATGTTGCGTAACCCGATTCGCACGAAGTTAATTTTTTAATTTTTACGGATAGCATCCGCGTTGCTGAAAAATGAATATGATAGGCGGAAGTGGTAATTGCAAGTTCCGCCGAAGCGAACTTTACGAATAACGAGCTCACGAATAACTACAAGTTTGCCTGGGTAAACATCGGTATCTTCTTTAAGGATAAACACGTAAATAACAATTACGAATTTAAATTATATATATATAATTTTTTATGTATATAGTTTATTAATATAAATATTAAATTTATGTAAATTATAATCACGTTTAAATTAATACTTTTTCGTTTGTAGCTTTAGAGTTACAAACACTTTGGAATGGCAATATAAAATACGTAAAAAATAAAAATAACGTAAAGAAATTTCTTGAAAAATTACATACAACTTTTGTTGCGTAAAGAATAAATATTTGGAGAGCCATCAAATTTCAAATTAGATGAAATGGTGTAAAAATAATTGATATAAAAAGAGGAGAATTTTTTTCTTCATCATTTAAGACATATTACAAATTTTCTAGAAAGCAAATATTATAATAAATAGACATGATACAATTCATTTTCGGATTGTTTCGAAAGGATACGGAAAGAAACGGAAATATATGGAAGGAAATGTCTTACAATTTTTCAAACTGCGATTAATTACAAGCCATCACTTATTTATCTTGGAGAATTGTTTGGATGAAGTATGTCGATCATTCTCATAAAGTATGAAAGACATTATGTTACATGGCGCACATCTTATTTCGAAAACATGCAATTTCTCCGTTACGCTCGGAATAGTATATAACCTGTTGCTTAGGGAAGTCACACAATTTCTCATAGATATAATCAATCGTATCGCATGCAAATCCTAAATACTTTCTCGATAAAAAGAGGTTATGAGGTTGTACTCAATGAGCCACGCTCTATTTTTCAACTTAAAACCTACCATAAAATTTGCATCGTTATGAAGTTGTGATTTCATCTCATTGTAATCTTCCTCTATATTATATAAGTGGTAATATTTTTTTCCCTATTATTATTATTATTATGTGCTTTTGTTACATAATTTTTTTGCATGCCTTATCTTAGTATTTACATTATTTTTATGATATATAAAATCTTGTTTTAACGCATGAAAATAATTCTATTCATGAAATAATTCTATTATCAAACATGTTTCACACGTGTAAAGAAGGACGAATAAATTGGTACATTTTCTACGTGATAAATTGTTTTAAAGTACACATACCGACTACAATCCATGTCGAACTGATTAGGAAACCGCACAATAGGAAGATGCGACATGACGCTACTCTGCCTTGATTTAGCATGCTATTTTGTATTCTTTGGTATCGTTACCTGCAATCATAAAATTAAGATATTAGAAACATGTACAATATAACAATTTAATATATTTAGATATTATGTTTATTTCAAGAATATACAATTATAAGCGAGATATGGAAAAAAAACGGAGTAAAATGAGAAAATATTTGTATCTCTCATTTTTCATATTTTCACATTTAATAATAAGTTCTTAATTATTAAAAATGAGCGCGTATTTGTTCGGTGAATGCCAGCGCGATGCAGCGAGATGCAACCGCCCAACATAACATGCATTCGCGCGATAAGATGTTTAGACGTGTGGTGGTGAAAACATCAAATGATAGAATATCTACTTATGATGCATACCTCCAAACATTTCGCGTTGCACTCTTACCACTTGCAAATGCGCATAACGTAGGTGATCACGCCTGTTATACCACTTGTTATACACCTGATATTTGTCAGTGGGCCGGGCAGATACACGCTTATTCGGCAATTTTTATTAACTAATTATTAATTGCGAAAATTGCAAATGAGAGGACTTTTCTGCCCAGTTTGACCCGCTTTACAATGGCCGGCACACGGCCATTGTACCATTTCGAATCAAACACTCAATTATTTTTTTATTATATATATATATTAAGTACAGTTTTTAATTAGATAATCTCAAAATGAATGCTTATATGTAATAAGCATATTTTGCAAAATCTTAGGGATTTATTATGTGTTCATCAATGATATCTTGCGTTTGAATACATCAATGAAAATAGAAATTTTATGACATTCGTATCCCGTGATATTAATTTAAAATATATTTAAGATATATATCTAAATTTGTATACGTATCATGTTGTTATATATATCATTATAATAATATAACTAATATAATGTCATATTAATATTACGGGATACGAATTATAAAATTTCTGTTTTCATTAGCATTGGTATATTCAAGTATAAAATATCATTGATGAATTCATAATAAATCTCTAAAGATAATTTTGCAAAAAATATGCTTATTACATATAAGCGTAATTATTTTGAGATTATTCAGTGAAAACCGCGATTAATCGTCCAACGAAGATATCTCTGCGAAAAGTACTGGAAAATTATGCGCAATTACTGGAAAAAGAATTTGCATTCGGCGAAGCGTAACTTGCACTTTCCTTGGCGGCAAACGAGGCGTCAAAAATCACATCATTGTGACGCGAGGAAGGATTCAGGAAGCAGTTTCGCAATGAAAACCCATACGATGTTTTCACGGTCGTCTCAATTTTTTTTTTTTTTG